CTCCCGTGAGTTCTGGGAAGGCAGGTTCTTCCCATCGCGTACTCCCAGATGCTGGTGTGAGAGTGAAAGGCAGACTGGGAAACCTGCAGGTGAAGAAGCCTGGTGTGAACATTGTGAGCCCTGCTCATAAAGAGCACACTGGCAAACCTGCTGCTTCCCTGTGTCCCTTTATACCCTTAAGGGCAGTGAAGCCTTTTTTCCTTTTTTCTTACTCCTCCCTTGATGCCATTCCTTCTTTTTTTTTTTTTTTGTTTCAGTTACTTTAAATGCAGAGCTATCATGGTGTTTCCAACTTTGCCTTTGCCTAACACCAGCTCCTGCCACCTCTGAAGCAGCTGGGCAGCAGTTGCTCTTCCAGTGCTTGTTGTCCATGAGCAGATACCAGGCTCTGAACCAGGCTGGCTCCAGAAGTGGGTGCATCCGAGTACCGGTGCCCGCTCCYGGCCGCTTCCTCTTGGAGATCCAAGTGCTTTTAAACGACTTGCCAGCAAAAGGCCCCCAGGAAGGGCATGTCCCAGGCTCCCTCTGGCCTTCGGTTTTTCTCTCTGCGCTTGAGGGATCTCAGTGGAGCTGGGGGAAAGGCTTTGTGCCCTCTGCTCGCCTGTGACTTTCTTCCTTTTCAAGGAAAGCCCGTGAGCAGGGGCTGAACCTTCCCAAAGGACTGCCTGCCCTGGAGAGGCATTTTAGCAAGGCAGTCAAACTGAGATGGCTGAGGGGAAATCTTGTCTTTTTTTTTCTTCTCAACTATTTTTAACACCTAGTTAACTGCAGCATCCAATGAGAGCACTCCAGAAAAGGTAAGGCAGGAGCCGCCGGAGCCGCTGCCGCCTCCCTGGTGCTCGCCGGAGCCGGGTGGGATTTYGGCGTCCCATTAAAAAGTAGCTGTGTGTTTGTGTGTGTGGTTACCCCTGGCAAGTCCTCTCCTGCCTCCATCCTGTATCTTGCAAAGGAGAACCCCAGGGAGATCCCAGTTTTCACAGTCACAGGTCACCTTTAAMTCAAACTGCTGCAGCAGGGTTGCCAGAGGAAGGTGCCAGTCGTGAGCACTGGGCTCAGGGATGGATCCCACCGGAGAGGAGCACCAGGCTCGAGAGAACCTCACACTGGGAAGCTCTGGGTGCCCAGGGAAGCAGCTGTAGGGAATGGGCCCTGAGGACATTGCCCAGAGGCTGCAGGTCAGCACACCAGGTTGGAGGAACTGTCAGGCCTGCGCACGGAACGGTGTTCCCAGGAATGCTGTGCCCAGGAACGGCGTTCCCTGGACAGCTGTTGCGTTTGGTCRGGCATAATGAAACTTGGGAGCTGCTGCCCGTGTCCTCCCGGGCTTGACTCAGGGAGCTGCTCCCRCTGCCGTGTGCGCCGCCCCGGGGAGCGCTCCGGGCCGCTTTGCCGATGGCTCCCGCTGGACGCGGCAGCGCTGCCGGTGCCGGGAGCCGCCGGGCGCTCCCATAACCCGCGTGTCTCCTTGCAGCCGACAGCTCGGACAACTCGGACCTGGAGGACGACATCATCCTGTCGCTGAACGAGTGAGGAGGAGCGGCGGCCACGCAGGGAGGAAGGCGGCGCTGCTTCCCGCCGAGCCCGTCGGGMAGGGATCCCGATCCCGCTCCTCCGGCGCAACCTGCGGAGCTCCAGCCCATCCACTCTGTTGCTTTGAGTCACTCTGAGGCTCGGGGCCAAGCCCGACGCTCTCCAATAAAGAGACCTGGGGTTAGGCCTCTTATTATTATTATTATTTTCTTTCTCTCTGCCTTTTTTTTTTTTTCCATTTTTTTATTTTAGGCTGAGATGACTCTCCTCTTCAAGGAAACTTCTGGAGATATTTCACAGTATATTTTCTTTGTATAAAGTTCTTTCCTAAAGAACAGAAATAGTTTTATATAAAAAAAAGAAAAAAAAAAAAAAAAGAAAAAAAGAGGAAAAAAAAAAAGGCAGGTGTTCTAGTAAAGAGGGGATGAACTTTGTATTCCTGTAGTACCTTGTTACCTTGGGGTAGGCTTGGGGGAGAAAAATTGTTTAAAATGAGAGGAAAAAAAAAAAAAGGAAAAAAAAAAGAAAAACAAAAAGGCATTTTTATGCAACAACTCAATGAAATAAGAGGATCATGATTTCTAAGATTGTGGAGGAGTGAGAATATTTTTATTTTAAATATGCTTTATTTTTAAAGGCAAAGCAGCCGCGGGAGGGCAGGCGCGAGCCGCTGCCCTGGCGCCCTTGGGTGGCTCAAGCCGCTGCCCCGCGCGGAGCCGCCTGGGCCCCGGGAAGCTGGGATTTGCACCCTCTTTCTCCCCCTGCCCCTTTTGTGGTTCCAGTTTTTTAAATCTTTATTTTTTTTTCCCCTCCTTCTTCTTCCTTTTGCCCTCTGTGTGGAAACAGCAACTTGAAGGCCTATTTTTTTTTCTTTAATGTAAAGTGTATTTATTAAAAAATTAACTACACGTCCCGTGTCCGTCTGTGGCCGGAGCCGGCTGCTCCTGGCCGCCCTGTCCCCGCGGGGCGGCAGCCAGGGGCAGCRGCCGCACCGAGGGCGGCAGGAAGGGCCGGGGCGGCCGCGGTTCCTCCTCCCGCCCCGTTTTGGGCACTCGGGCCTGTTCCTTGCTCTTCCCGCCTCCCTGAGGGCAGCTCTGGGGGCGAGGGCAGCTTTTGGTTTCGGCCTAGGGGTGAGGGCCGCTGCTCCTGTKCCCCCGGGACGAGCGGCCCGGCCCTGCCTTTTCCCTCTTCCCAAGGAGGTTTTGTGCTCCCTCAGGCTGAGGGACGAGGGGGCCTGGACCCCCTCTGTCCCCCCTGCCATTCGGGGGCCATCCCCTCTCCTGGTTTTGTTGCCCTCTTTCTGTTTTGGCCCCTTTCGGAGCAGGGGTTGAGGTGGAGCTGGGCCCTGGTGGCCTCTCCATCCTCAGCTCCGCTGAAGCTCAAGGTTTCATTAATGGGGGAGCAGAAGGTGCTTCCTCGTGGGAACCCGGAGGAGGTTCCAGGTTCCCAGAAGGTTCCCTGGAACCTCCTCCAGGTTCCCACCAGGAATCACYTTCTGCTCCCCCATTAATGCGGGAGCATTGCATCCGCTTGGTGCCCTCGCTCAGAGCTGTCCCTTGGGACCCAGAGGCTCAAGCGGCCCCGCGCGSGTCGAGAGCCCCTTAGGGTGCTGCAATTCCGGCAGCCCTTGCACGTGGAGAGGCTTCCAGGAGCGGCCTGGAAGGCGGGGAGGTTGGGAGCGGGGCCCGGACCGGCCTCTGTCTTGCCTGTGCTTCCATCTCGGCCCTCTGGAGGGCAGGGAGGGTCGAGGGCGCCCGCGGAGGGCGCGATGCAGAGGCGGGTGTTTGTAGCTGGGTCCCAGCTCTGCTCGGCCGCTGCTGCTCYGGCCCTCATGGGGAGGGTTCCCCGACTTAAACTCACAAGATGGAAACAAAACGTCTTTCATAACCTGTCCTCAGAGGGGGCGGCTTATGTTAAAGAGGGCCTGAAGGGCACGTGCTCGGGGCTCGCCTTCCAGGTTCCCCCCTCRTGGCAGTGGCCACCATCACCCTCTTACCCTGCCACAGTGACACGGGCTGAAAGACCGGCCCCATAGTGCTGCCCTCCTCACAACACCCGGAGAGCCCCTCTTTGGGCGTCCCCAACGCCAATCTGTGTCCCCTGCCGGCAGTGGGACCCGCTTGCACCCACACATGGGGCCCCGCTGGCCTGGTTGGGCTGCATCGGCACCTACGGCCCTGAAGACAGAGGCTCCTGGCACGTGAGGGACGTTTAGCAGCACTGGTTATTAATGCCACAATCAAGGGCAGTGTTTAAGGGCAGCGYTGTGGCCCTTGGGCACTCGCGACGTTGCAATCAGTGCGTTGCTATCAGCGCGGCGTTGAATTCGGCACCCGCTCGCACCGACGTGCTCCCTGCTGTGAAAATACTGGGAAAATAAGAGGAGGAGAAGGGACAGCAGCGTTAGGCCCTCGGGTTTGGGTGCCACCCGCCGCCGTGCGCGCAGGGTGATGGGGGCTTCGGCGGTGCCACACACAGGGCCAGAGTAACGCGCCGCTGAGGGCAAAAGGAAAAACCCTGCACAGGTAAGGAAACACGTGTTTTATTCCCAAACTCGTCTCCATAGGCCTCCTAAAAAAGAAACCTTACAGGTACCCTTTAAAAAGAAAAAAATCAGCACATGAAACGGGGTGGATTTTCCCTCCGATTTGACCGTGTTCCCATATCCATGAGCTGCTCCGCAGGCAGATGATGTCCTGGCTTCACCCCAGAGCACGGCAGTGAGCGGAGGGGCTCGGAGCTCCCCGTTTCGGGAAGCATCAGCCGTCCCGCGCTCAGCGACGGGGCCAGCAGCCCCGCGGCCACTGCTCACCTCKCTTTATGAGCCCGCTAAGCGAGTTTTAACTTGAGCAAAAAGCCTTTTTTGCATTTTTTTYCCCCTCCTTTCAATAAAAGGTCTCGCATAGTGCAACGTGATGCGCTAGTGCTGAGGGCCCCTCGGTTCGCTGAGCGCCCCTCACTTGCTTGGCCACATCCCATATGACAAACAAGCGGATCCAGCCCAATACTCTTTGTAAATCCTGATTTTTTTTTTTTCCTTTTTGCAAAGACCAGGCACGTCGAGTCCCCAAGTCCCGTATCACTATTTTTAACTAGCTGAGACAAACATTGGGTGCTCTTCAACCTCAGAGAAATGACWACGGTTGACTGCTTGGGAGGGATTTGGGGATTTTTTTCTTTTTCTTCCAGGTATTAGCCACAATTTTTGCTAGCAACCAGCGGCGTTTAAACCTGCTCCCAGGTTTAAACCTGCTCCCAGCCTTCAGTGGGATTTCCTTCCTCGGGAGCCGCCATCCTCCAGAGAAGGAGAATTATCAGGACAACCTGGAGCCTCCCGACTTGGTGCCAACCTTTTGGACTCTCCCGTGTCCCTCCCACCTTGCGGGACACCCCGGGAGAARCCCAGGAGAGCCTGGGAGAACCCCGGGAAGCGCAAGAACTCGGATACCGCACAAGTTTAGAAATCCATCAGTGAACAAGGCTTTACTGACAACTTTTCATACAGTTAAAAAATAAAAATACAGAACACAGCGGACAGTGTCACATATTAAAAACGAATAAAATGGGCTCTATTTAAATGGTATTAAAATTAATTAGGAACTAAAAATCTCCCCGCTTCGGCCGAGGGCTTTGGAGCCTCTGCCGAAACGGTCGGCCTGAAAAAACCAACCGGGCTGTCGTGACACACAAAGAAAACATGGACTGGGAGGGGGGGGGRAAAAAAAGACAGTGTGGGCTAGGCAGTGTCTTTGACTATAACTATCACCATATGTTCCTCCTCCAGCTTCCCCAAGGTCCGTAGTGCCGACTGGAGGTACTGCTGCGAGAAGTCGCACGGGGGGAAGGCGTAGAGCATGCCTGTGCTGTCTCTGCCCTTGGCGCCTCCCACGGGCAGGCTGATCACGCCAGCAGCCTGCTTCTGTTTCAAGTAGGACACCAGGTTCCTGAGCAGCCGCCGCTGCAGGCCGGGCTCGACGGCGGCCGCCGCGGCGCCCTCGGCCCCCGGCGCCGCCGCCGCCGCGCTCGACTGCGTGGCCAGCAGCACCGCGTAGCCGTTGGGGCTGCCCTGTTTGATGCGGCGAGTCACTTCGTCCAGCTTGGGCTGGTCGAGCCGCAGTCTCTGCGCGATTTTGAGCTGCGTGAGCTTCCCGCCGGACGAGTGGTCTTTGAGGAGTCCGTTGATGACGCCCAGGTCGCCCTCCAGGATGTGCATAGACGTGGGGAAGCAGCTGTTTTTAAGCACGAGGAGCCCGTTCCAAGCGAGCTGCAGCGTCTGCGCGTACTCCGACAGATTCTTTAGCTTTTTGGTCTCGGATTTTGGCTCCTCGTGACTTTTGGGCTCCGATTCGCCAGTTCGGTGATTGCGTTCGCTGTCCCTTTTTTTGGGCTGGGGCGCGTCGGCGGCCTCGCGGTGGGGCTTCTCCTCGGCCGCGTGCCGGTTGTTCTGCAGCGAGTTGCCGGGCTCCTTGTCGGCGCCGCACTCCGCAGTGTGGTTCTCCTTGCGGGCCCGCTCGGGGCTGCGCTCGGCGCCCGGCGCGGCCGCCTTCRCCCGGCCCCTGTCCTCGTAGGGCGAGTGGGCCGCCCTGCCGCGCTCGCTGGAGAGGCTGCGCCGCTTGCGCCGCTCCTCCCAGGGCTTGGGAGCRCCGCGCTCGCCCTCGCCGCCCCAGCGCTCCCCGCTGCGGCTGCGCACCGAGCGCCCGTAGCCCTCCAGGTTGTTGCGGCGCTCGGCGTTTTTGGCCGGGCTGGCCCACTCGGCCTCCACGAAGGCCCGCTCCCGGTCGGAGTAGAGGAGGTGCGGAGGAGTCCGATCCCGCACGCGCAGGTCTTGCTCGAGGCTGCGGTGCCGGCTGTAGCCGTCGGCCAGCAGCTCGTAGTGCACGGGCAGCGGCGCCGGCTGGTACTGCTGCGGGTAGCGGGTCTCTTCGGCCTTGGCGAAGTCCACGCGGAGCCGCCGCTCGGGGCCGCCCAGCGGGAAGCCCCTCATCTGCGCGCAGGCGGCCTGCGCCGCGTCCAGGCTCTCGTACTGGATGTAGGCGAAGCTGTCGCCCTTCACGTAGTCAATAGTCCGGATGCTGCCGAAGCGGTCGAACTCCCTGGCGAGCGCCGCCAGCGACGTGCTCGGCCCCAGCCCGCCCACCCACAGCCGGGTGGTGGGGTTGGCCTTGCCGTAGCCGATTTTGATAGGGTTCCTGCCGACCACGCGGCCCGACATGGCCACCTTGGCGCGGTGCGCCATGTCCAGGTTCTGGAACTTGAGGAAGGCGTAGGCGCCGCCCTGGCCGCGCGCCGGCCGCTTGATGACCACCTCCTCGATGATGCCGTACTTCTCGAAGGCGCGCCGCAGCTCCACCTCCGACACGCTGTGGTCCAGGTTGCCGATGAAGAGGTTGCGCGTGGCCCTCTGGTCGTCCTCGGGCATGAGCTCCTCCTCGGCCACCACGGGGTAGGCGTAGGGCCGCCCGCGCTCRTCGTAGAGCCCGTAGTAGTCGAGGGCGCGCTCGCGCTCGCGCGACAGCCCGATGGCGGCCGCCTCGAGGGCGAAGGCGGCGGCG